TTTTTGTATCGACAAACTAATTGTCCTTTTGTCTGTCAATCTAACTTGCCTATTTTGGTACTCAAAATTGTTGTTTTTAATCCCCTTAGTTAAAAAAAAAATTCGGAGGCTCCGTCCCCCTCCACCCCCCGTATTTTCGCTCTCGTAAGATTGAAATCCTGACTACGTCCCTACAAGAAAGGTAAAGTTTAAAGAGTGACATTCCAAAGATTTTGGCTGTAGTCTGTACATAGAATTCGCTCATTTCTCCACGAGTGGGGGCACGATCCTTGGGAAAGTCGATGGTGATAAGTGTTGGGAAAATTAAGTGATTTGTGTGTAGATAAACATATCAAATAATAAATATAAATAACATAATTCAATAATTGCATAAACATAATAAGATTATAATAATATAAACATTATAATTCAATAATAAAAAGAGAGTTAGAATGCAAGTTTTATGTAGTCATGTCAAGGCCACTGTCATAAAATCATGTTGTCTCCCATTGGTACATGTATTTTTGACACTACACAGCTCCAAATTAAAACGCATATGACTCACAACCGATTATCTTCTATGGGCACGATCACAGGAGATAAAGAACGAGTCATTATCGAATTTGTCAAAAGTAATAGAATAAACAATGAACATTAATTCAATTAATATATAGGTTACACTATAATATTATGAGATTTAATTTTATATTAAAAATCAAAATTGAAAATTAATATTTGTTATGGAAGTTTAAAACTTTTTAAAAAGTGTTAGAACTAATAGTAGAAAATTTCCTAGCAACGTTTCCATATGTCATATACCCCATCCTCATTGGAAATCGCAAAAAACTCTCTTGTTTGAAACTTTTTGTACGAAAAACTCCATTGCCGTCAAGATCCGTCAAATTTACTGTTAAAACTGTAAAAAATGCCAAAATTAAAAATGAATAATTGTAATTTTAGTACCCAAACTTTTTATTTTTTTACAAATTGTACTCGAATTTTTTATATGTGCCACCTATAATCCCAAAATTTTAAAACTTTATT